AGCCTGAGCCATATTTCCTCAAGAAAGCAGAATTGCTCGGCAAAATATGTTTTTCCGGACGTTGTCGAGCGATTTTGCTCACTTGAGGAGATATAGCCGATTTTGGATTTCGTATGTTTCAGAGATTCACGAGCCGTGTATGTGTTGTCGAGGGATTTTGTTCGCTAAAAGTAATATCAACGATTTTCTGAAGCCATCTCATGTAACTGAGTGGCTCATTCTAATACACTGTGTCTGTATGGATCAATGTACACAATAGAGTAGAAATATAAGGATCATTGTATTCAAGCTAACGGTAAATGCTATCCAGCACGGATCCGTTTTAGTTGGTATTAGATGCATGTGACTTTTACTGCAGAATAGGTCAATACTCTTCAGTTTTGTTTCATTTCAGTGAGTATAAATTTGCAATCGACCTATTCTTCACCTCAGGTGAATTGATTATATTCGCAATATGAATCCAGGCTCTACCCGGTTTTTATTTAGTGTTTGTCACTGGCATAATTCTTGTTGCACAATTAGCTGCGATCACGCCTATTTACTCAAATTGGATTAATTTCAGTTGAAATACTTCTCATTGTTCGAGAAAGCAGTTGTTAATATGCGGAGAGAGCTGTGGCACAATGTCTTCATGCGTGCTATGGTTACCGCGTATGTTACACCACACCCCCTTTCTCCTTCATCTAAACAGTGGGATTGTTGGTTTCAAGTTCATCATTTAATGCTGCCGCCGGATATATTATCGCTTGTCCGAGATAGGGGTATAAATAAGTGCAATGTGGAAGTTTTGGACCTTATAAATATCAGTCCGGCCCAACAGATCATGGTAAGGCCCACACTTCCGATGTAACGTTTAACAAGAGAATCAATGTCCAACATTTAAAAAAATTGAGAATCATGCCTTGTGTTTATTGTGTGTTATTAAGGTACATATTTGTTGATTTTCAGTTGGATATACTTCAGAAAGCATCCTGTATAAGAAGCAGTAACACCGTAACCACCTGACAGAGAAGAGATATTAAAGGTGGAACTGGATTAGATGCGCTAAATTTGAGCAAATCGACGGTGAGCAGCACTTGTTTATCTAATCCTTCAAAATTTCATTCTCTTTTATATGTTTTTACTAGTCAGTTATTTGATCAGATAAGTTTCATTGTAGAGTGGAAGTTACATGATTTATTTTAATCCATTGTCTACAGTTTCTGGAAGGCATCATTGCGTCCACCTCTGTCCCGTAATACGATGAAAAAAAATTGGTCACAATAAAAAGTTATCACGAAAACATCCGACTGCACCAATCATTTAATGGTAAATCATTGAGCGATGTATGACCATTTAACATTTTTATGATAAACACGTAATTTATTGGCTGGTTTTGAGTGTTTCTTGAAATGAAAATTGTACGTATGCGTTTATATACATTTCTTTTCAGTTCAGGAAAAATTTCAACAGTATGACGTAGATGTGGCAGGAGATTTAGTAGGAGGAGATAATCGCGGTCAATGGTCTGGTGACTGCAACTTTGATAAGGATGCATCCCGTAGCGTAGATGCTTCTCTTTCATAAACATTTAATTGTCTTTTACTAAGTATTTCCCTACATATAAACTGATTCTGATATCATATTCTGAACTGATTTTCATTCAGATATATTCTCCTACTTCCATTGAGTATATTATTCAAATTCAGTCTTTAGGAATTGTTTTATATTGATGCTTGACTGATGAATGATTGATTTTCATTCGTTTCAAGTTTACTGCATTATCCATGAATTATGCATGACTGTGATTGTTCTGCTCTCGATTTTGTTTTGCCCACAAATTGTTGATGGTATAGTGTAACCATTAAATATGAGTTGTATTTTCAGTTTCTCAGTTGCTCGTAGAACAATTTTATTCTGATTTGATTTCTATCAGTTGCCTTGATTGTTCTATCGTATTTTCCGATGCGTTTCCTCATATTGTTATGTGTGTAACGTTTGATCAAAATAAATTTTTGCATACGAGTCAGTGAATTGTTGCGTTTTATCGTATCATCCTTTTCTCAGGTGGTTATTTATCAGCCTAAAAGTTGTGAATACTTTTTCCTCAGATCACAAGCCTCTTTCCGTTTTATTCCCAATGCGACATTGTTTTTTCTCTTTCGAATGTTTTTCGGGAAACTTTGCAAATCAATTTCTAGTTCNGTTCAAGTAACGCGACTCATTCTAGAAGTGCATTGTGATCTCTTCTTTCATCGTAACTTAAAATCAACGTCTGATTTTGATATCATATTCTGAATTGATTTTCATTCAGATATTTGTTGATGATATTTATCAATATCAATATTCAACATTTCATAATAACTATTGTCGAAGTGAAGTAGTCCCGAATAAAATGAGAATTGAATCATATCATTTGAATGTTGCTAATCCATTTTGATTGCAATTCTGCTAATGTGAAATTCAAAAAAACAATTATTATTATGAAGTTAAATTTTAATGAACTCGATCAACTATATGCAGTAGATCTGGTCAGTTTGAAACGAATAATATTCCTGAACGATTTAGATGTTGTACCCACCAACAATTACTGATGAAAAGTCTGTCGCTGATGAGTTGTCATCTGGTGATGAAGTTGATGATGTAAGTTAATGATCAATTGATTTGCAGTTAGTCATTGATTTAACCAATTGAATTCGTTAACAGACACTTTCTTATACCGTCTTTTTTTTGCTAAGCCAAGCCATCTACCGTTTTGGGATGTGGTGATGCATCAAATGGAAGTAATTTTCAAGTGTTTTCTGTTACGCATCGGAATGTGCGGCTTAAGTGCGAGATTATATGATATTTTCAGTGTGTCAGCGTGAGGAAGAAAACGAAACGAAAGAGCATCACGTCTGAATTTGCGAATGATTTCGCATTTGAGATAGCGTCGGAAGAAAAAGGTGTTATATTATGATAATTGTTTGATATTGTTCATAGCTACTGTTTAAATTTAATTGCGATTATAATTCTTTTACTGCACTTCTCTTCTCGTTTCATTCGATTGTTGTTGTTCTCAAACTTCAACAGAGATAGAAGGTAAAATTTGCAGATGACGATGAATTGAAAGCCGTTCGAGCGTATTTGAAAAAGACGAAGTCAAGTAATTTGCAAGAAAAGATCGATCGAGAGCGAGCCACACTTGCTGCATTTGCTCAAGAAGAACAACAACAAACCGGAAAACGGGAGCAATCAGTTGATGAATCTTCAATGCACATTGTACAAGAGATGGAGCATATTGCTGGTGAGTTCCTTGCAATGTTTTCTTCCTTTGAGAAGACAGCCGTTTTAATTTACTGCTAATACTAGGCATTATTGAATGCAGTTGATGTTCGATCCTTTCTTATGCAACTGTTTATGTTGTCTTCTTGACGAGTAGAGGAACAGCGCAAATCAAGAAAACAATTGAGAAAATTGTATTTCAATAATGAGGATGATGCAGTTATTTTTAAGATACGTTACGAGACAAGAAAAACAAGAAACGAGCGAAACAGAAAGATGCTGAATCGGCATTTTTTGATGAGGATGCCGGTGAAGTGGCGCTCAGTGCTGAACCATCGATTTCATTTGAATATATGAAACTTTCGCGACCGATGCTCAAGGTGAATAGTTGACGTTTCATATTTCATATACTACATGTACAATATTCAAGTGATATTTCCCATAAGTATTTCGTTCATAGCTAGATTGTTTTCGAAGAGGATTGGTTTATAAGTGGAGAGAATGAATTTATGTGAACGGATTAATTCGTCATTTTTATGAAATGCGAATATGTGATATCGTACATTTTAGTGTTTGATTACTTGTGTAATTATTTGCTCTCCTCCAAAAACTTGGCATATTCACTGTTCGATTATGGAGTTTACGCTCAGAATTCTTTCAAATTCATCTCAGAAATGTATGCAGACCTGAGAACTCGAAATCACACGTTATGAAAATTGGAAACCAGCGTAAATATGATCGTATGCCGATCTGTGAAGATTTTTGAGAGCTGAGGCAATATGCTGGGATTTGGGACAGTGTAAAGTGATAACGCATGTTTTAAGGCAATCGGTGCGTGTGGATACACCAAGCCAACACCGATTCAAGCATCTTGTATTCCATTGGCGTTAGCTGGTCGCGATGTATGTGCTTGCGCTGCAACAGGAACTGGCAAGACGGCCGCATTTATCATACCAATACTCGAACGACTACTGTTCAAACCGAAACGCAAATCCGTGACACGTGTGCTCGTCGTTGTGCCGACCAGAGAACTCGCTTTACAGGTATTTCTTTGTCATATCTCCAGTTTGTTCTCTGTTTTTTTTTTCAGTCGGTTTTGTTCAAAAATGAAAGCAAAACGATGCGATTGCGCTCAAAATCATCGATGTCTTTGAATGCGATTCAAATCAACTCTATGGGACCACCCACAGCATCGATTTAATTATGAACGCTTTTCTTCGATTGATTACTAATGAATTGATCAGATATTTGAAACAGTCAGCTTGTTTGTTTGTTAATTCTGATGGGTTAAACATTTTAATGAGTCTGAATTATTTTCAATGCCCCTAACTGTTCAAGGTTTTCAGCGAAGAATTGCAAGCAATTTTCTAACAAAAATTCATAGCTGATAATTGAAGTGAACCGATTCACGTTTGATTGAAAGTTCATCCAAAATTTCTGATGTGGAAAAAAACTGTCGGTTTATTACCTCTGGTTGTATTGCCCTTCGAGAGACTGTTCACCAGAAGAAAAAAATTCATGCCTGACATTTCAGCGGAGAAAGGATGACAGTTTTCACCATTTATATTGGAGTTATTTTCGCTTTAATTATCAGAAAGAAATGGATTATAATCTATACGATTGGTAATGTGAAGGGTAATCAACATCAGTAATATACTTATAGGTATTTCATGTGACACGTACGCTAGCGCAATACAATCCAGTCGAAATTTGCCTTTGTGCAGGTCAGTTTATTGTTAATGAAATATGTCAATGACTAAACATATGCTGAATTTGTTGTAGTTTTTTGTTCATTTGAGCAAACAAGTTGTGAAAGAAAAGTGAATTTGTTCAAGCTAGGAACAAGTGAATGAAAACGATCTGAGAAATTGATTCGAGTAGTAACAAAAATGGTCATTACAATAATAATAATAATTATAATGAAAGAATTAACAAAATTTTGATGGTATTCATTGTAAATTCAAGGTATAAGACATAAATGGTTAGTGTGAATGCATGATATGGCACAAATTAAGAGATGCCAATTGAAGGCAATAATGTACCGAGACGTGCATTCGAATGCTTAGCAAATAGTGAAACGTATATGAGTGTAATTGTCGAAAGAATTGCACTTGTATAGAAGGCATATGTATAATGCCATGATTGAACTAGATGCGATGTGTAGATTGGTACAATAAAATGCGCTATCCACTGAGCAGTTGACGCCAGTCCGGTTGCTTTACCCAAGTCAGCCACATCCACAGCACTGAAAAAAAAACGTTTCATTGCATTAAGTGCTTTGCGTATGCAGCAAAAATGAATCGAATTTTGAGTTAAAATTAAATTCAGATGACATACAGCATATTCATAGGATCTCTTTTTGATTCGTTCAGTTCAGTTTCGTATCATCTGATTCATTTTTTGAATTGAACAACCATTTTACTCATCATAAATATCACTCAAACACATTACTTTTGATTGAGATATCGTCAGCCATTGCATAACTCTGCTTTTGCATAGCTCTCAATGTCTAGAATTTACTGATGCGAATAGTGCAATATCTTATAAGTGTGCTCATTTACCTTGTAATTTGAGTGAAACTCTCTGCATATGCAACTGCGTAAGAGGCCGTTTGTATGGCGATAATAACCAATAACTGCTCAAGGTTCTTTGCAAAATTAGCCGCAAAGTACGAGAATATGAGAGCAGTTAGAGCGAACTGTAGAACCGTTTTTGGGCTGTATCGTTTTTGTAGATATGGCAGAAAAAGGAATTGAACAGTGACCAATGATAGGCCCATAACCATTAGCACTTTCGCTGAATCGTTCGGTCCCTGAAGATCGCAAGTTTTATGGCAAATATTGTTAAGAATCATTCAGTGGAGGTTATCAGTGTGACGCAATGTACTATATGAAGTACACTGAAATCTCTGCCTGCGACTGCAGTTCGTTTCCATATTAATCAGTGGCAAAGCAATTAATTCGTTTCAGCCAACCTATTGTAAGTTTCAATTTATAGCATAGAATATCAGCAGTCTCACTGGCAGACTGTTTCAAGAGTTCAGAGTATGATAGAAAAAAGGGAATATGACATTTATTGGGAACCGGAGTCGCCCGTTTTGGTAATTTTCGGAACAATGCTATAAAAGATTTTCTTATAGTCAGTCTTCAATATCTTTGAAAATTTACCCCTGATTTCAGTTTTGTTATCTTAACGAGGATCGTTTTGAAAAAGCCCGGTCACTGACCAAATTCAATGCCGAATTGCTCAAAACTCGAATGATCTGTTACACAAAGGCCTTTAGTAGGCTTCCGCGAGCTCAGTTTCCTTTTAGTGTAGCGAACAAGCACCAGTTTAATAAGCGAAAATCATAAAATACACTGCGTCAAACACCAAAAATAACTGAAATACTAGATGAGTGCTCTTCACTAATGCGAAAAGTAATAAGAAATTGTCAGAGTCCTACCATGAATCCTCATCTCCGTCTGATTTTATCTGAGAGGACGAGAAAAAATTTTATAAGATCGATCGAAAAAGATCGCAAGCAGAACAGATTTTTAAAGAAATTTCAGTCTGAACTGGAATTGATTGTAAACTTGTGCGTTCATAAGGCAAGGTTCCATTCCATATGTATACGTGTGCATGAGATGATTTTTGGTGCATATTATCATTCAATCGACTTCATTTGTTCGCATAATGAGAATGTGCCGTCATATCAAAAACTATTCAGTTTCATCAATCTATTATCCATTATCAGCATAGTCGAACTGAATGTTCATCAGAGAGTATCTTTTAAGTATAATCAATTTAGTTCACCTGCATAAAAGAACGAAGCAAAAAGTTCCTTGAAATCAGTTCATAACAGACGTATGCGGCGATAAGAAGTCCGCGAAGTAATAAACCCTCCCTGAGTGCAACATTCCGTGCGATCATTGGTAGATAATCCTGCAGCAAATTCAGCATCACATCCACTGAATTATTATAGTGCCATTTTAAACTCTTTCTTCATCAGCTTGATTTACAATATTTTTTGATTACTGTTGAGAGATTTTTTAAGAATATTTTTGCATAGTCGAACTGAATGTTCATCAGTTGAAACAGAGATTTATAGATTGGCTTGACGAGAGCACATAGCGTAGTTAAATGGTATGTACCTGAGGACGAAGTCTAGCAGTAGCAAGTCTTGGAATTGAATGTGTTTGTGGTAATAAACAGTAGATAGTTGGCGTTAATGTGATCAACATAACGATGCCACAAATCACTTGTGATGTTCGTAACGTTGTTGCGACGGCCAACTGTGAAGCAATCATCGGTCCGAAAAACATTGCTATTGCCTAATATCACATTATATCATATTATTCACAGTCTAATAAATTCACTCATATTGCCGTTACGGTCAGGTATTTGAATATGTTTGCGTAAACGAATGTTACCTGTGGCACAGTAAGGCGCATTAAAGCAGCCGTTCGTTCTCGTTCAGTTGTTACTGTAGCAAGATACATCTCGGCAGTTGCATCCAGTTGATATCCAACTCGTAGTATCTTAAAGAGCACGTTTCATGTTTCAGTTCTTCTATAAATTATCAAAGCAAAATGACTACTCATTATCCTGAAAATTCAATTCTCATTCATTTGTTTTTACTAAGGTTGTTTCGGATAGCACTTGATTGATGTTTTCGTCCATCTCAATCATCTTACTATTAGTGGTTACGTTTCTGTTCTGTCTGTTCTTTGTTCACTGATCTTTTAAAAGTAAAGATGGATTATAATTGAGCTACTCATCACATGACAACGGTGGAGAAAATATTCATAAGTTTAATATAGTTTCAAATTTGATAATTTCCAGTCTTCAAATACATAGTACTAATATTTCTGTTTTTTTTTCGGATCGAAAACTTCAAGAGTTATGTAATCAAAACGAGACGTTGTTGTTGTTGTTTGCTAACGATGAGTATTATGTGAATATAGCAAATATTGCATGTTTACGATTCGCTGCAATGCAAACCGCTCGTGTTTTTGTGTTGGAGTGATTAAGTGCGGTGCACTTTTAATAGGAGTGTTTGCTCAATAGGAGAATGTTGAATGTTTCAGAAAAGAACTTCAGCGTATGGTTCATAGAGAGTTCGCTGAATTTCTAGAATTGTTGATCCAGGTTGTTTTGTATCGGTGAATCATCAAATTCAGTGCTGCTTACCTGCAGGAAGAAGAACGAATACCAACATCGTGCGAAGCCAAGTAGAGAATAATAAATCGAAACAATAACGCATGAAACTATGAACATCGCCTTAGGGCCGGTTGTATCAGCTAACTGAAACTCACAGCAGTAGGTTCAGATGGACTTTTGTATCCGTGACGCGTATGAATGCTCATATTTTATGGCATTTTTAGTCGAATTTTTTTTGATGAATTCATTTATATAACCATTAAAGAAGAGCGACTTTTTTGACTTTTTGAAAAATGACTTCTTCATTCTGCTTCGAACGTTACATGGAAATACGGCAGAGTGTAGTGCCTTGCGAATACTTGAAAATTGATTGCCTTCTCTGTTTATTTTGAAACTCTGGTGGGTTTAATTCTCTGTCACCTTTGAGTTGCTATTTTCGATGATAAAGTGCAAAAAATGATGTATATAATCGCCGTGTTATTGCATATTGAATATGATTATAACAATTTCCCAAATATCAGTCTATAAGAATAATTATGTTTGGCTTCACCTGTCCGATGGCAAGTGCACCGATTGCGTTGCAGAAGCTGCCAAATGATTGAATATATCCAATGTCAACAATTGTCATCACCTTAATTATCAATTCCATTATATTACACTAGTTTTACTTTACTATGAACTAGTTCTATTCCCCTATGCATACAGTTTATTTAAGGTTTATTTAATAGCCAATTTTCTTCTTGTCGAATGTGAGACTAATTGATAGGTCCAAAGGTAAACCTCATAAAGTATTAAACGTGGTCGATGCTGTGAAGCGACAAAATTTTGAAGTGAAATGAAGCGAACCACTTCAATTTTGCAATAAATTTGCAGCATCATAATGAAAGAACGATCATTTGTTGAAAATGATTTTAGCATATTTGTTAGAAGCTCTTTCATAAGTGATGTCATGCGAATTTTTAGTGGGGTTTTTTAAAATGTTTATACAGACGACAGATGGAAAAAATGGAGCTCACATGAATAGTATCCCATTGTAGAAATGAAAGTAACGTTGTCGTCCATTGAGTTCCAAGATTCCATAATCCAAAAATGAAGCATAAACTAAGAAGAATTCGCTGTTTCTTCTCCATTTTTAGATGAATTCAAAAGAAATAATTTGAATCAATGAATAATGTATGATCAATTTTTGTTATACGCACGTAAGAAGAGGCGATGAAAGAACTGAAAATGATTAAGTAAAGATTGTACTCGAGTTTTTATTATTGCTAACATTTCCAGTACAACAATTGAATGTATAGAGAAATGCAAATTTCAAACACGTCACATAATTAACTTCGTATCAATCAATGAACACGATATCCGAAATGATATTCAACGAATCGTAACTATCGTTCTCTTCCACTCCCAAACAGTACTTCTCATCTTTTTGACAAATCTTACGATAGCTCACGATCGGTTTTATTCCAGCATATATAAGAAGGCAGACACACAATCAACAATACAAACACCACACCTAAATGCTGAATACATAACATTCGCACAACGAAATCAAATTCTAAGTGCCACTCCGGGTCGCGTACCTCTTGCCCCCCTAACAGACCAGTACCTGTATGCGCGACCCAAATTTCACTCTCATCCATCTGATCATTAAATTCATTTCATATTTCCTATACATATTTCCTTCCATCTTTCCGTCTCTTCGTAACGTTCATCTGTCTCGTTGTTTATCATCTTCAACAATCTCTATTCCATTTCTTTTTTTGCCGTCATCACTATCATTATCGTTCCAGCACTCAGCAAACAATGAATGAACGAAGAAAGCATTTTACAAACCTAATTAGTAATAACAATGCAAAACTTTTCATATCTCTTCGCACATTGATTACCATCATCAATCTTTGACGACTGTTGCTTAATATGTTTGTATTAATATCAATATTAAGGCATTGTAATAATGAGTACCTAATAGTTAGGAGATTCGTTTGTTCTTGTCTGTTGCTCTCAACGATCATTGCGAATCGCCTGTCAACTCGTGATGGCAAGAAGAAGAAGAAGAAGCACTTATCGGGTATCATCAATAAATTGTCACTTTCGTTGTCTTTTTACCCCAAATGAAGCTTTCCGTTTTCGATAGTGATGTTCTATATGTAATATTATTGTTTCATTTCAACGCATTTTCTTTCTCAAAACTTGTCTATGGCTAAGTGAAAGAGAGAGTTCATAATGTAATGTTGATTCAGTTTCAGCTTTTGATAATATTCAACACTTCTCATAAGCGAGTGTTGTTGATATGCATGCGTCTGTCTTGTCCATTCAGTTTTCTCAATCAACCTTTTACGCGCAGCGAATTACTTGATAAATGCATTTGTTTGTGTTCTCACCGAGCAGTTCGCAGTTTCGTTTGCTCAATTTCATAGAGTTAGTTGCCAGTTTTTTATTCTACTGTTATTGTGTGCTAAAAATAATTGTAACAAATAATAATCTGGAAAAAAGAAGGAGAATCGAAAAGCGAAAACGCAATATAACTGAATTCTTCAACTGCTCGACTCGATCAGGTTTTTAAGGGCGATAATAGAAATATATTGATTGTGTAATTTGATGCGTAAGTAAAGTAGATTGGAGTTGAGAAGAGGAACATTTTTGAGGGGTGAATGAATGTTATGGATATGAGTAAGTAGGTGAATACATTATGAGAAGCAATAATTCAGTGATATGTTCGTAGTCGTATAAATTCATTTGTTGTACTATGCTTCTTCATAACAACCATTATTTTCTGATGAGGTTTTACAGCATCCACTATAACAACTGTCTTCGAATCATATCCCAATTAGAGTGAAATTTAATTCAGTTTCATCTCTAATTTTTTTTTGTTTCCGTTCATTGTTTAACTGAAATTGTGATGCATTGTCGATAGTTTGTTCGTTAGAGTGCTTTTATGCATTGATTTCAATTGCTCTAATGATCAAGAAGATTAATCGATGAAAATCAAACAGTAACGATCGTTTCATAATTGTACGTCTGTGTACATTTGTAATCACGTTTCACAGCGAACTGTGATGATAGGCATGATTATGGGTGATAATGTGAGGGCTGAATAAATCACAGTCCATTGATCATCGTCATGATTTGACAACTAAACAAACAATTGAGCTGAACAATCGTGACGTCGAAAATGGCTTGCAAATTATGCTACCTTTCGTTGATATAATTGTGCACAATAGTATCAGTAATCCGATTATAGTTCTTTCTCTTTGATTGGATCAATTCGTGGATAACAACCGAAATGAACAATAAATAAACAGATATGTGGAACGCAAGCGCATTAAGTGTGACAGTTGACTTAGGACTGAAAAAAGAGAAGAGCAATTGGAAGTGTGTAGTGAAAGCGGATCTGGAGATGGATCTACCTGTTTTGTGCGTTGGTTGAGATTCAGTTGTATGTCGATATCAGTTCTGATGAAAGGCGATAATTTGATTGAGAGAATTCTTTTCGTTTCCTTTCTCACTCACATTTCTTGTTATTATCCCATTTTCAAATATCTGTTTCTGTTCGTATCTCCCTCTCTCTTCTCATACAAAGAGATAATGAACGCAGCATTCACTGATCTGTATAATTATACTACAATAACATAGTTTGAACGAAGGAATTGTCATGAACCGAACGAATATTGCAAACGATAGAGAAGGAATGTCGCAAAAAAATGCATGTCGACAATCTGTTCAGTGATCGCTTCCTGACTAACAACTGTTTGCACTAACGACAGTATTGTGTTCTTTTCGGAAATTTCGTTCAGAATATTTTGATAAAATCTGAAATGTTTTGTATTGCATAATTGATGAGTAGATGCCAGTGATGAATTAATTATTTGTTTTAATATGAGAAATAAATTTAAAGCAACAAAATTCACGTCCTTCATTTTGCAATACGTACTTTTAATTCATTCTCTGTACAGATTTTTCTGCTCATTCATCGTTTTTTTTTGTGCATTTTTGGTGAATAGTTCAGTGGATCGATCGTCGAAATAATCAAAAAAGCTGGTGAGTTGTTTCACTTGCATTCATTATTCAAAACCGAAACGAGTTATTGTCTTAAGGGTGTAATCACTTGCATTTGGTTGACTTCAGTGCAAAATATGCAATAAGTTAAGTCTATAAATGGTGATAACTTAAGAAAAATCCAATTCCCTCTCTTCATTACTAGAAAAATTTTATCTCAAAAACGAGTTTTGCGATATATCTCCTATTCTTCGATCAATTACACAATTGGCATCAAACATTTCTGCTGTGTTTGTTAATCTTGCAAAGTCAGTGATGATATTTAGAAGCAATACTAATAAATAAATATTTTCTTCATGTAAAGCCATAGTGAGGATAAAGTCAACAGTTCGAGATGAATTCAATCTGATTGCAGCATAAAAAGTAAAAGCAACAACACGTTGACCGAGAAATTGCATAAATTAAACAGATAATCACAATAACAACAGCAATAATTATCACATAACATCATCGTCACATTAACAAAAAAAGGTCAAAATCCATTATGCATCAGTGAATCTATTTCTGACAATTTTGGCTGATTACCCTAACATATTTGTTTAAATCATCAGCCACTTTTAATGATTGTGCAATTTGTTGAATTCATTCTTGATAGAACTTAGCACAAAAACTTTTAAAAAATTATTTTTTTGCCTTTGTCTTAAAAACTGACAATAAATTTTGTAACCATTTTTAAACAAGATTTATATCGCCAAATTTAACAAAATGCATTGTTTTAATAGATGATTTCTGTTTAAACTTACTGCATCGATTCGAATAATATTGCTATTATGAAAAGCTCATGTCCCATTTTGAATATGCACTTGTATTTGCGAATTTTTAAACAGTGACTGCGTTAAAAAAAGTAGCAAATCGCCTGAATGTGGACAATCACCAAAATATTTAGTCATCGTGTGTCCGAAGAGGTAATTTATGAACATGATGGCGCATAAAAGTGCCATAAAAATGTACAATAATCATTCCAGCTGCGTTTATGAATGCACTCAAATAGCATAATATGCGCGCTTCATCGCCATCAATGTAATAACCCGAAAACAGTGGTGTTAATAAAGTTGCTGCCACTTGTGTACCACGATTCAACGCTGCTGCTTTACCCAGATTCGCATGACCAACATTACCCATTATTTGTGATGAGAGTTGACCGAATGCTATACAAACTCCAATTACCTGCAATCAATGTGATATTGTTTCAAAATCATATTCTCATCATTTTAACCGTTCACTCTGCTAATACTTCTCTAAATGAGCTCTTCATTTCATTGTCTAAACTTATAACTTAATGGGTAGGGATGAAGTTCTGATGAATTGCTTACTGTTGTTACGGTGTATGTAGAAGGTTAATTCGTGTAAACTTACTTGAAAAGGCATTCCAAGCAGTATGGATGCGTAGCTATCAGTTTGACTCAAATAGAGGAATGATGCACTGAGAAGGAGCATTGATAATTGCAACAGTGCTTTCGGTCCCATACGTGCTTGTAATAACGGTAGCACAAAGAGATTTCCGATCATTGTAGTTAAACCCAACAAGAATGCCTGAAACAATTCCAGTGATTTATTTATCGAATCACGCATATTTTATTTTGTTCAGCACATCTACGTGATATGCAAAGTTATTCATCTGTTACCAGTGTGTCTGATCACTGAAGATAATTTTGCTTTCAAACTCAGCTGAACATTGAGACTCGTCGAAAAATTTCGATTTGAAATTCAGAAATTATAATTCAGGAAAATTATAAATTTTCGGCGGAGCTTATCGAATACTGGTCTTCGTTGGTTCTATATAAATGCTTTGAGCATCCCATTGATTGTCACAGTCGACTTTTTCTAGCCTCACAACCAACAACTGAAGTACGTAAGTCTAAATACCATTTTAGCCATATCTGTTGGTTCGAATATTATATGAGAGGCAAGTTTTGTTCGTATCACTTGATCGTAGGCCGAAAATGGCGCCGCAACCATCTGTGGATTAATCATTGATGAGCTTCAAAATTTTTGAAATCTTCGTGCTTTGTAACAAAAAAGAAAACGAGAGAATTTTGAGTGAAAGTTTTAAAAGCAGAAATATTTTTGATACACTTACAATCAGGAAGAAAAATGAAAAACTAGTCAAATGCAAAGTGAATCACTGACAAGCAAGAAGAGGAGTGACCAACGCAGTTTTGAATCATGCAACATTTCTTTGTATGAGCCTAATGAGGGCAAGTATGAACGGTTCCCTCCTGAATCATTCATTCGCATTACTGACCAACGATCCAACTATCTTCTTCATTACGTGGTTAAGAATAACAACAGTTTCATTCGGAGTTTTGCAAATGAATGCGTAAGATATTCGCGATGTTTTTGAAATTCATCATTTGACATTCAGTTGCTTTTGTTCAGCTAGAGGAATCTTTTAATAGTTAACACTCAAGTACTGCAGTCGTATTTCAGCTTATATTTTGGTTATTCTTGAAGAAAGTGAATCGGTGGTTGAATAAAAAAGATTTGCAAATTCAAGTACCGATCACCTTTTTTTCCGGGTATTGACCAATAAATAATTGGTAGAACTATAACAAGATGAGCGAATCCACAAAACGTTTGTGATGTTTCGATGCTTGCATTAATTATGTACAGAAACTGAAAGAAGCGTTTGACGTTTTGCAAAAAAAGTTTTGAATTATGGAAAATTGATGACTATTTGCGGAATATTATCGTTTCTGCTGTCGTCTGTTCGTTTGAACTTTGTAAATTTGGACTGGAGAGAATATTCTGTTTCGTCAATATAAAATGCAACACCAACAACTACTCGAAAATTGCACGTACTAATTATTTGAGTAAAATTAGGTTTATGCATTTCAAACTAACTGCGAAATAGTCAGTGTATTCTCATGAGACCAGGTGGGTGACCAATCCGAACTCACCTGAATCGCCAAGTAGGGTCCAACTGCATAAGCGATACTCTCTGGAATTGTAAGTTGCATGATAAGGTTCGTTCGTTCCTTGTCGTCGCCATCTTCGCCGATCAGCTGTGCAGTCATTGCATCAACTACCATAGGCAGATGGTTTCCAATCAGAAGTATTTGTGCTACTCCAAATAGGTAAAAGTCTTTGATATATGGAACAATCAACTGAAATTCCTTTTCTTTTAATGACGAAGTCATGATAATGCCTATATATCTCTTTCTGATAGTATCAGAAAATTGGATTTAATTTACTATTCAAGTGAAAAAAAAACTACCAAATGCTGTAGTAGCAAACTGGAATGCTAAACGATGTCTTTTGATTTAGTTATCAACGAAGGAACGTTTTGTGAGCGATTTACGCTAGTGCTAACTCATTGAGCGAAGCACGAACAATACAATTAATGAAAAGACTGCGTGTACCTCAAAGGTGCCTGCGAGAATGGTTACAAATATTGCTGCGAAACGACAGCCTCTTGAGTCAATCTGCAATTTGATTTTTATTGAAGTAAAACAGTGCTCAAGATTCACTGTCAAGCCATCAATGTTTCGAATGAGTGTTCCGATAGAATTCGAACTGAAACAGAAATATTAGTACCGAAAAGTGAAATTTGTGTGTGCAAAAAGAAATGAATTCAATCGGCTTGATTGTTTGAATGTAAGAATAAACCTTACGAGTTGTGCAATGAAGAAGCTGCCGAGCAAAACGATGCAACTACCGAATGAATTCAGTAAAAGTAACTGGAACAAAGTTGGTCTTGGTTGCAATCTCCATTGCATAAAAGGAAGCAATACACGAGTCCACTTATTGAACGTATTGAAAAGGCCGTATATTAATAAGATTATCAGCTTCAAACGTTCCTTCTCTTTGCGACTCGCCATCAATAAAGCGATTGATAATCAAAATAAACACTCAAATTCTATTAGCAGAATCACGAACAGAGTGGCTGCAAAAAGCGCTTGTTGAAATGTTGTGTAATCACTAAATAATGCCTATTGCTAATAGCAATATTATATAGAATGCAATGACATACAGTTACTATTGTGTGTACATGCAAACGCCACGTTGTCGTTTGAGCCAGTATGTATGATCACAACCAGAAAAGGGAATGAATTGTCAGCAGAATGAATATTAGACATGCGTGAGTAATGTAAACAGCGTTATTAGCATTTTATTATAACGCTCTATCATTGTAGTTACCTGACTGTTCGTTATTTGTGTTGTAATCTTATGCGAAAATGTTGGATAGTTTGAAACGGAACAAAATTTTATTGACGTATTATAATCCGGTTGTACAGTGATGATTTGATCGAGACAATACTACATTTATATCGTTTCGCCTGAATCACCGAATCGAAATCTTCTGGTGTCACTCAATCAAAACATTTACAAATTTGACATCAGTCTAAGAATAAGATTCGTATATCTTGCTTCAGGAGGATTAGACATTAAAGCTCAAGAGGCAGCACTTCGTTTAGGTCCTGATATTGTTATCGCCACTCCTGGACGCCTTATCGACCACCTTCACAATGCGCCTAATTTTTCACTTCATCATATTGAAGTAATTTCTATTATTGCTTGAAACCATTTAGATTTAATTTATAGATTCATTCTTTTATAGTTCCGAAACATCAATATAACAATATTTATAAGTCATGCAAACAGAAGAGATGTAGAATTTGATTGAAGGTACTGGTACTGGATGAAGCGGATCGTATGCTTGACGAAGCATTCGCCGATCAAATGAAAGAGTTGATTCGGCTGTGTTCTGTAGTTCGTCAAACTTTGCTGTTTTCTGCTACGATGACCGATCACGTAAGCAGTGGACTTCTTGTTCTATCTTTCGTTGTATCGGTCGATTGCAATCTTTTTTTCGTTCGATATGACCTGACGTTTTCATTTCGCTTCTTCATAATTAGACGACAAATGTTGCTAAAGTTAAATATATCGTTGTTTCATTATTAATGGAATGAATTTTTTTCATTTCTCTTTTTTTGACCTAAGTGATCTTTCATGAATTGCAGATTGAGGAATTAGCCGCAATTTCGTTGAAGAACCCTGTAAGAGTGTTCATCAATGAAAATACAGAAACAGCGCTGAATCTACGACAAGAGTTTGTTCGTATTCGTGAGAATCACGAAGATGATCGTGAAAGCATTGTAGTTGGTAATCACGTTTTGTGCTATTATGTTCTTTCTTTGATTCGTACTTATCTAATAGAGGGAGATTAGGAAGTTGAAATCGATATTACGATGACATCGAGTATGAATTGTAAATTGAAATATTTACAGCATTAATAACGCGAATATTCCCCGATCATACGATGCTGTTCGTTCGGACCAAAAAATTATGTCAACGCCTGCATATTGTGCTTGGTTTACTGGGAGTTAAGGTGTGTACCGCGTTGCGTCTTCGTTTCTTTATTACTCTTTTTTATTTGTTTGCGTTCCGGTTACATTTTGGTTTATTGTTTTTAGTTCACTTGAACGAAAAGTTTATTGGCATGCTCGCGTCAGGTATGCCCATGTTTTATGTCTAATTCTGGCAAATTAAAGCTGTTAATGATGTCATTGTAAGGTTGGTCAATTGCACAGTGGACTGTCACAAACACAACGTATCGAGACACTGTCACGTTTCAAGAATGATCAGCTTGATGTTTTGGTTTCAACCGATCTTGCAGCTCGTGGTCTTGANNNTTTTGAGAATGGTCGTCGACCACCGCTCACGATTGATCGAATAATAACCCGTATTTCAGGTAATCAATATGCAAATGCCAGTTTCACTTAAACAGTACATCCATCGAGTTGGTCGAACGGCTCGAGCGGGTCGTGTGGGC